CAACTTTAAAAAAAAAATGCCCTATCTCTTTGCTATGATATTTTTAGATGCTCTATGGGTGGGTTCTCGCTTGTCTAAGGTTATTCCATTCCAAAGATGTTATGTATTATCCTTAAGATACTACTGTCTTTGGAAACAGAACTGTTGCATTTGTCTATTTTAAATTGAAAAAAAAAAAAAAAAGTCACATTTCTTGAGCCACTGTTTTCTCATTTTCTTTCTTTGAAGTGATCTGCACCACAGTAATATTCACATTTAAAACCTGTTGAATCTGGACTTCTTCAGAAATTTTTATGCTTTGACAATGCAGACTAATGCATGGAAATATATTTAGTCAGAAATTTCTGGTCGTTTCTTTTGTTTCAACATTGGGGAAGGTCTGGTTATGGAGAAGGACTTCTGATATTTTCTGATGCATGTGACAAGTGTGATATCTCTTTCTCTGATTTACTCATCAATTTTTACTGCAAAGTCATCGTGTCACGGACAATTATCCTGACTTTTAAGGCAGTCCAGGACTCTTTAGGAAGAGCCTTCCCCTAGAAGTTAACTGGGAAAGTGTTAGCCTATTAATTTGTCCTGGTGTGTGCTAGCACATGCCACTCCTCACCAGATTAGAAATGAGAAATTAGATCAGAACGTTCTCAGAACTCACAATATTCTGTGATTTCTCTCTTGTTTGCTGCCTGAATGTGGGGTCCCTAGGCCAGGTACTTGGCCATCTTGCTTGTGCAGACTCCTGGCTCTGTGTGGGGTCTATGCATTCCCCAAGGGCACCTGAGTGCTGCTGGCTTTGTGATACCACCAGAGTTGTTGGAGCAGGTGTCCTCTTCCAGCTCTTTCTGCCCCCATGTTTTCTGCTCCAAAAGCTGAGCACACCTTGCTCCTTTGACTTCACCAGAGGGCCCCAATTACCCCCCAGCAGCACAAACGGCTAACCAGACCCTCATCCACAAGTCAGCTTGCAGAAGGGACCTGTACTGCTGCTGTCTGCAATTCCCAACCCAAGCAGCATTCCCAGGACTCAGATTGACAGGGGAGCCAAAGGGTCAATATATTAGCACAGTTGCTAAGATATGACACTGCCTTTCCATTTGCCAGCATCTTCATTCTGACCTTTCCATTGCTGGCACATCTCACAGGCCCAAAGTAGATCCCTGGACAGGTGGTTTAAATGCTACCCACAACTTGTTTCTCCACGTGTGGTTGTGACACTCTTGTTGACATGTTTGCTTAGAGCTAACATTAGAAGAGGTTGGAAAGGCAATTTTTAAAATAAATCTTTCTGACTGTATTTACTATGTATGGAAAATTTACATGCATCTATATAACAAGGTGTGGGAGCTTTGCAGCACTTCCCTAGGACATGTAAGCTCTGTGTCAAAATGGTGACATATAAATAAATGAATACTCATAAAAATGCACTGACACTTATTGAACCTGTTACACCAAAGATTTACATGGCAGCCTACTGTGTTTCTGTCTTGGCGGTTGTAATTCTGGCATAATTTCTGCTAGTCACCTGATCTCAGTGTTTCAGTCTTGCTTGAAAAAAGAGTGGGAAATTGGCCTCATTGACGTCAGTGGTAAAGCCCCCATTAAATTCACTAAGAGAAGATTTTCTCAGCCCTTTTATATAGCTCTAAATGAGAGGTTTGTATATGTGTTTTTTGCAAAGCAGGCTTTTGCATCTCTAAAGAGAGCTGTGTTGCAAAGACAGCACAATGAGAGACTCTACCCACTGTAAATCATATAAGGGGACTAAAAGGCAATGGCATCGAGGTTTCTAAAGAGAGGAAAAGCGTGAGAGCTGTTGTGCTACAGTTTGTAGCACATATGGGGTTCAGCCCAGGGCCTGACCAAACAGCTTCCTCCCTGTCTGTGTGAATGATGCTCATCAACAGGAGTGTCTCATTAGGTCTTTGCTAAGGTCGCTGATTTTAGAGAATGCAGTTAATACAACTCTGACAGTTTCCTGAGATATCCTACATGGCAGATTTATTGATTGATATTAATTGTGCAAATCACAAAATCTATAAACAGATGCAAACTACTTCTCTGTCACACAAATAATGCAACCAGAAGCCACTTCTCTAGTGCAAGGTCTTCAGATGCAACAAATGAGTCTTTTGGTTTCAACGGTGAACACTGGTCTTCCTGCCAGGCTCTGTTGCCTAAAGCACACTGCAATTTCAAGCAAGACAAGGGATTAGGCAAATATACATGTGGTAAACAGGTCTGTAACTGCAGACCTTACCTTGCAGACTTGAGAAGCAGCTAACAGATGAAAGCTGCAGGAAGCCTCTCCTATGGCTAGTGTATCAACATAAATATCTGACATCCTTTATCACTGGGTTATTCCTACCTGGCATCAGTAAGAAATTCGTCTAAATTACCTAAAAAGTGCAACAGATTAAGAATTTGGGAAAAAATTCACTGGGAAAAAAAGAAAAGGTGTCACTGACCTATCTGATGAGAGAGAAAAAAGACAACATCTGTGATTCCTCCCTACAAGAAATGGTGTTGTAGTGTGGTATATTTCAGGAGGGTATTTACCTTTGTGATAAATTCCACTTTCAATTACAAAGAAAAATAAGCAAACGTTCAAGCACAGATGATGTCTTTGTGACAGAACCGAGTCCTATAGAAATACTGAGAACATGTGACCAAGCTAAAAATGTTTGTTTATTTCTACTCTTCCTGTCACTGGAGTTTCTCTAATATCACTAAAAGAATTCACAACTACGTGGCAAATGTAGTTTAATATGTAGAATATGTTATTGTTGCAGATATGTATTTTGCTTAGATACATTGCTTAACTAAATGGGCAAGCAACTGTGTTATTGAAAGACTGTAACTAAATGGCTGCAGATACTCAGTAGTTCACTGCTTGGTGTTCAGGTATCTATATGTAATTTAACTGCAAGTCCTTTCAAGCTTGACAGAACAAAAGCCGTTATGTGGAGTCACTGCCAAAGGGAACTGTGGAGTCTTAAAATTTTGTAACCCTACTTTTGTAACCATACTTTGAGGTCCTTGAGCTTTAGTTACATAAAATGGAATTCAGCTCAGAGGCAAATGTGTGTGGAAGTGCACGGGCTCTGCAGCTTGTACCAAAACCTGACTGAAGAGGTTTACTGCAAGGGACAGCACAAATAATAGCAGCAAGATGTCAAGGTTCTTCCTCGCATACATAGGCAAACAACCACAGTTTTTCCTTTTATACCTTTAATATTAGGCAATAATAAGCAATCATGAAATAATCATAAATAGAACCTGCTGAGGGATTTTCCTAATGCAGAGTTCATGTCCCATGCACACACTTTGTCAGTGTAACCAATATTTGCAAAAGTCTTGGTTTGACTCCAAAAGGAGCGATCATTACTGGGAAGAGCTGGAGAGGCAGTGGGGGCCCAGGGTCTGTCTACATGGCCACAGCCAGAAGCAGCTCAGGATTCACTGTGTAGTCTAAGCACTTGGAGAACATCAGGTCTAAAGGTGTCCTTCACTTAATCTTACACTGAGACACATATCTTGCAGGGTCTGTAGTGGCTTCCTTAAAAGAACTGAGGCTGAAGGGCCAAACATTTTTTTTTTTTTTTTTTTTTTTTTTTTTTTCCAACTAGGGATTTTTATCCCAGTTTTGGCAGGTAAAACATCATAGTTCAGGGCTTACTAGCTGCTTGTTTTAAAGGAGTTTCTGGAACTTTTAATAAATGTGATTGTTCCCCAGAACTGTTAAAACCAATTCTGTAGACTACAAAACACAGCTCTGCATTGCCTGAGGCTGGAGGTAGCCACCACAGGAACTTCAGCTAGTTGGGAGATCAAAGACATAGCTCACAGCAGCAGTCAGCGCTATAAAGAGCTGCCCCAAACTTAACAGAATAGAAAATATAAGAATATAAATAGAACTAAAATTTAGCTATCAGTACTATGTGAGGATGATTGCTCAACTGGTTATGAAATGCCATAACTTCTTAACCTCATGAGTTGCTTCATAAAGATTTAATGGGGGGAAAATTCTGTTTTCAGAAATTAGTTTTGCTGAATATTTTTGTACAATGTGTGTTAAAAGCCAAAAGTAGTGACAGGCATCATTGGGGTGAGGCAGAGTACCAAAAAACACCACAGGAAATTCTTGGAAGACGATGGGAAATATACTTGGGCCAATTTGCTTTTTATTTATACTAGTAACTTTAGGGGTTAACTCAAATCAATGCTGGCATTAGAATTGTAAAGACAGAAAACTAATGGGAGAGAAATTAATTAATTGAAGCTTTTATGCCTGCTTTCTCTGATGCAGGAAGGTAAAAAGAAAACAAGTTATCAGAAATTAAAATAGAAATATGAAATTATGATATAAATTAAAATCTGGAGAAGATTGGCCAGATATTTACCAGACTTAAATGAGCATTAAAACAGCACCAGCTTGTTTCTAGGGATCTCATGCTATTTATTGCATGGTTTGCTAATGAAAGGTGCCAGACTCACTCTTCTTACTGTATAACAACACACCAAGGGGTTCTGGATAGAGTACAGAATGATACTAGGGTGTCTCAGAAGCATAGGCAAAGCCAAATAATGCCATCTGGTAGCCAGGTTTTAGTGAGTGAACGCAAAAGCTGGTGGAAGGTTATGACAAGCACACCAAAGCTTAATAATGCAGAGACATTAATCCTTTCTCCTCTGCCTGATTACCCCAGCAGAAAGTCTGCACCAGTCTGTTCTCTGTAAATGATTTATTCAATTTACCTTTTTTTTTTTTTTTTTTTTTTTTTCCTGGTCAAGCTTGTACAGCATTTAGCATGTTTTCAGCATTGCCCAAATAATAAATTAACAACCAAATAATAATAATAAAAAAGTATTACCTTAAACTCTATCTTCCCAAGGTACAATCTGTGTCTAGAATTAATTCTATGTAGGAAAACTGTACTCTTAAGGAAAAAAAAAATAATTGTTTTCTCCAAGAAGTGTCAGCAGGTGTAAATATGGCATAAACAGGTGTGATTTTCGTCATGGTCATTTGATGCAGTTCACTCTGTCTACAGGATTATCAAAAATTTTTACCTAAATTTTCGTACTCTGATGTTCCTGAAGGCTGGTGGAAAGGCAGTAGTACTTGCAGATCCCTGCTCCCAGAAAATCCTAATCATGTATTCTGAATCACATGATCCCTTATCGTGCCCTTTGCTGGGTCACTACCATCGCCAAAGGCTCTTCACAGCATCAAAATCAGGGTGAAGACAGTTTGCGCAGATGCTCATCCTAGTTCAAGGGCATCATCTCGTGGCTGACATAGGAGGGTCAGGACAGGGCTTCCTTCCAAAGGAGCTGTAGGAGAACAAGATCTGTTCGACTCCAGTACAAATAGTACAGAATATTGGCTGCAATAAAGGATCTGTTAACTGCCTTGCTCCATCCCATCTATGCCACTCGGGGCTGGCCCTGAGCATATGGTACCTGTACTGATACAGAGCCCGCAATCCCTTCCCCCTCTGCATTCATCTTGCTTCCTACGCACTGGCCACGTGCCACTTGCCCGGCTGCCCCTGCTCGCAGCTGCCAACTCCAAGCTGCCCAACGTGCACAGGCAGGGTAGTGACTAACCTGAGCTGAAAGGCAGGCGACCTCCCAGAGCCAGAGCATCCTCCAAGAGCAGAGAGTTACGGTGAGGCAGTCCGTGTTTTGGGAATAAGAAAAGTATGTTTTAACTTGTATGGGGAATGAAGGCAAAAAACAGCCATGCTATGGGTTGAAGAGCTGTTCTGGCCTCTGTTAATGAGCAGATAAGATGTTTTTAGATGGAAGCGTAAATCCATAGTGGTTGGCTCTGAAACTGGCTGTGGCCTGTGCCTGGGAGAGCTCTGCCAGGGGAGACACCTGCATGTTGCTCTCCAGCAAAAGCTGCTAGACTACCTCCATCAATTGAGAAGGAGACTGAGCCCTCAAGGGAACAACTACATTCTCAGGATTCGCTCCCTGGAGCATGAACCCAGCGTATGCAAGAAATGCAAATCCCTAGCAAAGACACCATCCACTGCACTTTTTTTAAGGATCAAACAGTCCTTGTCCTAATGAACTCTCTGGTAGATGTGGAAGCATTAAAGCTGGTGGATGGGCTGTGAGATCACATAATGGAAAATTGGGAGACAGGTCATGAATTGTTCAGTGTACAGAGGTGGTGCCTACCTATGGCAAGCTTACTACTTTCACCTCTGCAGCCTGTAGAATCTTGAACAAATAAATATAAATCGTCCACAGTATCCATAGAGCAATGAAAATAGGCAATGGAATAGTGATATACATACTAGGGTAGTCCTATGTCCTTTAAATGTCCCCTCTGGCTTGCTGGATAAGGCCCTTATGGATACTTGTAATTAATGGTAAGAGCTGAGCTGAATACTTCCTAGTGACAGAAAATCATTTTGAGCAAGGCCCTGGTTTTTAAAAAAGGAAAGGCTGCTGCACCTGCCTGGAGTGCATGTGCTCAATTCAGGCATGTGCAGCGGGCAGAGGAAGCCAGGTGGGTGCCCAACCCAAGGGCTCAGGGTCTGATTTCGGCATGTGCCCAGCAGCTGTGAGCTGGCCCTTGCTCTGGCCGCTCACCCTGAGGGATCAGACCGCTTGGCAGGGTTTAGGACCTGTGCTGCTCTGCTAACAGGGCTCATATGTGGCACACTGAAAAGTTCACCAGCAAGGCCTGAAATTATGTGTATGGAGGTAAGACACTGGGAAAAGAGAACTCTAGAATATGAAACTCTAACAATTTTGTACAAAGTATGCCCTTTCAGCCAGTGGCAAACTGAGCCAGTGTCCATGGCCCAGTGCTTGTTAATGCAATCCTCTGGGTCAGGTGAGTACAAAGTAACTTTTTTCTGCATTAGTCTGCCAAGATCATTTAAAGCAACCAGTACCCTTGCAACTTCTTGCAGGTCACGGCTGTTGTTGGTTGAGATGTCACTTGAAATGAGAATGTCCTCAGTGTTTTTCATTGTGGGAAAGATCTTAGAGAAGCACCCAAGCAAGGCCAGTTTTGGACCTTGCAACTAATGGGGCTAGAACATCATTCATCTTTATGGTAGCTACCCCAGTTGCCATTAAAAGGGAAATAAGGTTGAAAACTCACTTTCAGCTGATCACATGGAGAAGTGAGCTGAAGCCTGAATATAAAGCTTAGATATTGAAGGTTGAGAAGCATGAAGCAGGCTTTGGTTTGAAAAAGCCTCGGTCAGATTTTAAGAGGTGGTACTACATTGTTCAACTTGAAAATCGTGCAACACTGAACAGAAACAGCACAGAAACCTCTCTCAGAAAACATACATCATTCAAATGTTTCTGGCATTTCTATTGATAACTTGTAACTACAAATACCCTTGTTCTGGACTGTCTTAAGGTATTCAATAGGTGCTAACTCAGTTGTATTCCAGAAGAACTGCTCTAGGGCATGGAGAAGCATCTTGAACATGAACTATCACTCTCACCATGAAGAAAATGTTTTGATATTTCCAACCAACCTACATTCTTCCACATCAGGAAAAAGTTGCTGTATATGCCATGTCAACCCATGGAAAGCCTCTCATTTTCTGCCGGGATAGTGGAGGGACTTCTGCATGGATATGTTTCCTCAGCATGTGTTTTTTAATCCATCTAGCACACCATATGCAAATCTGCCCAGCTAGGATATTCTTCCTCCCCTCCATACTTACCCTCTCTCTGCGCTAGCTAATGTTCAAACCAGGAGTGCTCCTGCAGTGGCCTATTTGTCAGTAAGCTAAGCTCTGCAGTGTAAACCTCTGTAGATTCATGAAGATGAGTATGGCTTCCAGCTCTCTGTTCTCCCTCTGGGCCTCCATCCAGCTTGTCTTGTCCTTTTGCGCCTATTTCATCTGTCTTAAACAACTGTGACAGAGACTCCTGACATTATTTCTTAATGCCCTGGTTACGTGTTGCTCTGAAAACACTGAAGCAGAAATTTGAAGGTTGAGGTGCCTTCAACTCAGCAGAAACTCTGCAGCCCTCCAGGAAATATTTCAGGGAAGCTGAGGCGATGGGTGGAAAAAGGCAGCAAAGCTGGGGAGGGAAGAAAGACATATTTTTTGTTATTTTAAACACATGTACTTGTCTTGATTCATAATGGGAATTTGGGTGGGAAGCACAGCTGGGAGGACAGAGGGAGAGGCTTATTTTGATTATGAAAATATGTGCTAATTGTGGCTCAAAGCAGAAAGGAGGGTGGGACGCTATATGATGGAGAAGCCACCTGCAGTGGAGGTGGGGAAAAAAAGGGTAAGAGGGTACTACATTTTTCATATCCACCAACTGAAAATATACTTTTTTCTTCTCTAGTGACTGAATACCAGCTAGCTAGGCAGTCTCAGAGCACTGAGTAACTCAAATTCAGCTCTGCTTCTGGCAATAGCTTTTATGGCTTGGTTCTAGCACCTTTTATTTAGACTTGTGTGAACAATTGTTTTTGGGTGGAATGAAATGTTTCAGTTGACCCAAAACTGACATTTGTTTTCACTCAGTCTTTTAAAAAGCATATTCTTCCCCTTTCAGGCATCAATTTGTATTATGTTTGTGTTTGTTTAAAGCCAAGTAGTGGAAATGCAGAGAGACGTGATTTATACATGCAAGAAATTGGAAAAAGTTCTCTTCTTTGTCACCAATGACAAAATCTAGGAACGTCCACATCACTCTCCCATGTTGTAAGAGAATTCTCTTTAAGCCTTTTATTTTCTGAGAAACTTTTAACCCCCACGCTATGGGTGGTTCTGAGTGTTAGGGAATCTGGCCAGGACTCTGTATTACATGCCTGGCTATGTATTGGTATTGATGCTGATAAGGAGTCAGGCACCCAATTGATTCACACACTGGGTAAATGTCAAAATGTTCTTCTCAATGGCTACGGTAGAGCTCCATCCAAAATAGAATAGCTTCATTAGGAGAGACCCATAGCATGGTGTTAACCAATCTGAACAAATTTGGCAGAGATAGTTCATGCAGCAACTCAAAGAGCATTATATGAATTAACAGACTAATTGCTGCTGGTGTGAGTTTTCTGCAGCCTTACTTTATTAATATCTAGTACATAAATGTGGGTCACTAGCACAATGGTATCTGGGGGCCTCAGATGCAATTTTGTTGAGATGTGCTGGAGGGGTTCTACCACAAGTGCTAGGAGATACATCTTGTTCTGCAGTAAGCGATATAAACTCCAATGGCCTGGTGTCTCTTCGGAAATAGTAAAAGCTCCACCACTGCTTTCCATTACTATTCTAGGTTCCTCTTAACCTGAATGATTCAGCTCTGCTCCTCTGGAAATGTCTGTTGGGCCTGTGACCCTCAAGAGGAAATACAGCAGGATTTTTGGTTGTTTCCTTCTTGTGGGCACATAAAAAAGAAGAAGGGCTTACAATTCACATTGAGTACCTTCTGCTTTCACCTTTAAAAAATCCTGCTGTTATCCTAATTTCATTGTTTAGATGTCTAATACCTTTGAATCCTACTCCTAGACCACTTCATCCTTTACGCAGCAAAGTGCAATACTTTATGCCTGGCTGAATGAGAAAAAGGCACACTAAGGAGCAGATGAAAAGTAGAATTTGGGTTGCTACTCTCTCAGTTCCAAGAACCAAGAGGGAGTTTTGGTGAAAGAGGAAAGAAGGAAAGGAAAAAAGTTAGGGATATACTCTGAGTCTATGGGCAAGTTTCTCCTACTCTCACAAATAAATTCTCATTGTCTGGTGCTTTACGTGAATTATCTTTAACCACAACTTGACTGCTCTATTCTGCTTACCCAGTAAGCACACTTAACAGCCTCTGACAACACTCATAACTTGCCTATGTCTACTAGGATAATTTCAGTATGATAAACTCTACATAAAAGTAGAAATATTCTCCAGCTCTTCTGACACCTTTGTAGTGAAAATATAGTAAACAGATAGGTATAGATAGGATTAATATACAAAGTCTCACAGACATAACATTTTTCTTAGGCACCATTAAATGTTCTGCTAATTTATTTGTTCTTCACACCCAAAAGTTGGCCAGGAAATGTTCTTGAGAAGAGCTTTACAGTGAGCTTCAATGAGCTCTGCAGTGAAAAAAAGCTCCTAAGAGACCATGCATGAGGCAATATAGAGGGTGAGTCAATTAGAAAATCATCTGTGTCATGTGATGCAGGAAGTTCTGTGGCTGGTATATATACTACAGTTTTCCCATAAATAGAAGCAAGGAAATTGTTGCTTTAAAAGTTGAATGTGTAGCTAATTTGTGCGTGATCTCACAGAGGGTTGTTGCGGAGTTCCTATTTGTTTTTATTTGGTGATTAAGCATAGCTTGTACATCTGAAAATCTTTGTCTATTCATTCCACTTTTAGACTTGTAGAAGCAGATGCCATACCAATTCACAGCAGAAGATGATTCAAGCAGAGATTTCTCTCTATTTTGGGGATTTGCAAAGGCTTCCTCAGCCCTCATAATTCTACTCATTAATTCCTTGACTGCTGTCATAAATCTTGTATTTTGATAACTCATTCATTAGCCTAGACAAGCAACATGCAACCCTTGGCAGGGCTCAGGACCTATCTTCTGTATAGCAGATAGAAAGCAACAAAATATCTGGCTTCTTCACTGGAAATTTAAGCCTAATACACTTTGCTTTTCACCACCCAGAAAAAAAGGTTGATGCTTGGATTTCCTAAGATCAGTTCTTTTTTTCATCCAGGTTGCATTCTACCCTGGTGTGCTTTCATTTCACTTAATGATAGTTACTGTTTTTCAGTGAATAGGGAATAATTAATCATACACTGTATCTTCAAACAAAATCCACAGACACTTTTCCTATTCTAAAGGAAATCACTCCCTCCTTCTCTAAAGTCCCGTATTTCACAAAAGGTTTCCCACTATTTGGAGACTAACTAGTGACTGGAAATCTGTGTCTTCAAAAGCCACGGACTCAAGAAAATAAGTAATTAGACCAACACCAGCTGTTTAAGTTAAGCGATGTAACTGTTGTGATTTGTGCTTCCATACATACAAACAAGATAAGCAGTGGTCAGGAATTTTTCATAAATACCAAATTATTCAAGATACTTAAATAAGAATTTCTAATCAAGAAAACAGACATACAAAAAAATATTTTCCAGCATGAATAAATATTAAAAGTTTGATCTTTGATGTATAATCTGTAGAAGATGAAAAGAAATTGGTAAGAATTTATGAGGTCTTTTAATTTTAAATTGTAATGGATGTATGGTGTGAATATGGTTAACTGGGAATACTAATAGCATCAGTAAAGGCCAGCTCTTTTAGAGCACTGAAAAGCAAGCACTAACTTATTTGTCTACAAAATGCAATCAAAATTTCAACAGCAAAACTGCACAATCTTTTTCTGGAATCTTGACAGTACAATTAACTTATTTTTCTCATATCTATTCAGAGAGAAAACAAAAATAGGATTCTGTAAATCCTTACGTCCCTGAAAGTCTTCCTAAATGTAAAAGTCACTGTCCAAAAGGACTGATTTAAAAGGGGCACACGGTGAGCAAGGCCTTCATTGTCAAGCTGCAAGTGAACAATTTATTTGTATGCTACCAGTTACATGCTATTGGCAGCTTTTGCATTTACTGTGACAAGGAACATGCTTTGATTTGGACACTTTTGGTCTGGACCACAGCCATATTATTTATTCCACTGGTGTTAACGTAGACAGCTGAAGGGTTACTATAGCATAAAATTTTTTAATTATGATGGGGCTCAGAACAAACCTATATAATTAGTTATTCCCCAAAAAGTGCTGAGGGTGGCTTTTGAGGGTTTCCAAAGCAGGTATCAAGTGATGTTTATGTACACACATCACTGTGATCCACTTGGAAATCCAAGCCTTGACAATAGAAGTCCATATTTTACTCTTTTCTTTTAGGTTTAGTGAAAATACTGCTGAAAGTATTGGGGAACAACCTGTTTTCTCAACAGAAATTCTATGACTCCTTGCCTTCCTAAGACTTTTTCATGCCTTAGATGTTATGATTGACAAAATAATGACAGCTGCATCCTTTCTAATTTCTTAAAGGAATGCAGCTAGCAGTACCCAGAAGGATAAACAGGGGAACTGGGAAGGGAGAGCTTGCATGGTTAAGGAAAACAAGAAGTGTAAAAGCTTCATGAAAACATTCAACTAAAATATAATTACTAAAACAGCTTTGAAAGGAGGGAGTTAAATTACCGAGTGTGTCTGTGACCATTCTCCTAATTTAAATTACTCTGGTATAAATGAAATGAAATAGGACCTGGACTCTGTTAATTAACTACCCTACCCACAGGTGATCACAATATGTGCCATGTAAGATCCTTGCAAAAGCAAAATTTATACACCTAAACATGACAAGTGTGCATATTAAAACCATTTTTGCCGTTTACAAGAATAGCTAAGTCCTTTGATAGCTAACCAGGAAAATTATAGTGGGAGGTGGGAGGGGTGCAGAGGAAATTCTGCATACATTTAGAAATAATGATTTAGACAACATTTCTCTTGAATTAGTTAATTTTAAAAGAGAACAAAGGGTTTGTCCTGCTGGGTAGCTTTTCAGCAGGGATGCCCTGCCTGCCATATTTCAGATCTGCAACATTATGTGGTTTCAATTAGTGGTAGCACTTGCAAAACTAGTAACACAGACATTTTGGCATGAAATCTGACTCCAAGGCGGTGAAGGGTACTTAAGATCTACTCAGGAATGGGTGGAGGAATACAGTATATTTGAAAGAGTGTTGATCATTTGTCATAATGGTGTCACTTCTAAAAACCTCACTGTATTTTTATAGGCTTGGCTTTTTGTTTCTACTTTGCCTCCCTGTTTAGAATTTGCTTTCCACTTATCTAGCATCCCTGTTTCATGTCTGTTATGTCACCTGGCTACATACTAGGCCCCGAGTTAAGTTTTTCTTCAGGCTTTTAGGGCAGCCAAGTGTCATAGCTAAACATGCTCAAAATACTATAGTACTTACAATGCTTAATGTTTACAGAGTCCTCTTTATCTTCAAAGTCCTTTGCAAACACTAGTTACAATGAGAACAATCCTGCGTTGTCAGGAACTGACTGGTTTAATAGTCCATCCATCCCCTTAATGTTGTGAAGCAATTACTAAAATATCCTTTTAAGGCAAATGTTAATTCCTTTAGCTTTTCAGTCAGGAAAGCTGACTTCTGTTGCTATTCCACACTGATGTAAGTGCCTCTTGTAATACATCTGCTGGCAGAAAAAAGCCTGTGCGTGATTCAAGGAAGTTTCCCAGTCCTACTTATCCTAGATATTTGATAGGCAGGTGGCATTTTGATGAGCAAAATAACAAATGTCACTGCTGTGGTGATAGACATATACAATATTCCAAATATCCACTGAAAGAGAAGTGTTTTCAGGAATGAAAAGAGGCAACTGCTTGACAGGATTTGAACGTGTATAACTATAATATTTTTAGCAATAAAGTCAATAATTTGTCTCAATATGACGGTGCTAAAGTAGTTTTTACCAAGACTTTCCTATATGCTACTTTATTATGGTGATTGTCAAAAAACATAGCATATCTGAAAGGAGACTACAGCACAGATACGAGGACTTTTTTTTCCAAGAGTTGCATTCTTAATCTCCACAAAAGGACTTTGATTTGTTTCAGTGGCGCTGAAGGTTGGAAATCAAAAATGACCCTAATGATTGTCACAGGGTATTTGTTTTGCTAGCCTAATGCTGGTAACAGACTGTATAAAAAACCTTTCTTTAAAATTACCGCGTATTTGGCAAGGTTCCATTTTGATACTTGTGGCTGATCTCAAGCTGAAACAAAATTTAGAGGCTGCAAATGGAAATGGAATGGAAGTGTGGAAAATGCTGCTCATGTCAAACCCTGTGGTATGCATCTGCTGAGTTATGCACGTGTCTGGTCAACAGCATTTATTTTTATGAGTGTCTACCTCAAACTTTCTTGCATGGACATTTACCCTTACTCTCATTCCTGCTAGGAACAGGCAACCTGAACTAAGGAGTGGAGGAAGGAGCAAAAGCATGAGATGTGGTTAGACTTTCTCTTTTTGATGCACTTAACAGAAATGAAGATATAAATGAGCAGTTAGGCCACTGTGATCAAACTCATATGCAGTGTAGTTCAACTGATGTAGAGCTAGAACACCAAATTTCTCCTACGCTTCTTCAAAGTCTCTGCAATGGGAGTGTCTAATTTTGATAATAGTCTTTCTTTTTACATGACAGGTAATCCACAATGATCCACAATCATACAAGCAGGCTTTTCCCAATTTCAGACTACTTAACAGCTTTATTGCAATTCTAGGAATAAAGATGATCACATTTCACTGACTTAAGGGAGTAGGTTTAAAGCACTGTGCCATTTGCCACCATCCTGACTGGCCTTTTTTGTGTGTGTGATTAATACATGTATTACTGCTAATAAAACACTTACGGAGTTTCCCAGATGTAGACATGGCCCCTTAATCCCTCTCTGTTCTGCTGGGGATAATCATTTTTACAACATGAGATCACTTGCACCAGTGAAGTGCATTTTAACACCTTTTGCTGTTATCTATATGAACTGATGATCCTAATAGAATCCCAGCAGTGCATTTAAACTTTATTTCCTAGGTTAATCAGGCTAAAAGACAGTTTACTAAGTTTCCCAAACGGGGCCTTCCTTACATTAAGGAAAAAAAAAAAGATGCTACTGGAATTGTTCATCACCAGAAATTTTGCTCATTGAGAAAAGAAAGGCAGCAATGCTATAAAAAAGAAAGGGAGTTTTTGTCTTATAGTGGACAGCATGACACACACACACACACACAAAAATATTTTCTGAACAAAGAAGTCAGGCCAGTCTCCCTCTTTTTTTGATCTTTAATCCCTTCTCTCCCAAGTAGAATGGCAAAGGAGCCCTTCTCTCTTTCTAATAAATAGCTAGCAAAGGAAGGCATTCAATGCTATGTCCCTTTGATCAGCACAAAGCTGTCAGCCCCTGCCGCTTTTTTTTCTACTACCTCTTGTTCCTGGTTAAAAGTGGAAGTAATACTCCCTGAAAGAAATACCCTAGGTGTCCTGCAAATCATCAATCCTATTTTTTCCCTTGTTGTTTTTCAGTGGCCGACCCTTCTGGCCTGAGCAACCTCCTTACTAACACCCCTCTTCCTCTTTCCACCCTTTTTCCAGAATACCAGTTTCATTTGATACGCAATTCAATGTGCCAGTCTGACCTACTGGGACCTTGCTGTCTGAGACTCTACCACTGCGCAGACAGGGGAAACCTTCCTTCTAGCAGTAAACAATGTTTATTTCCATACATTTATCTTCTTGTAAAAGAATTAAAAATGCTTCATAGACACAGCAAAAAGATTTTTAGAAATTATCTTTTAAAAATTTATAATACAGCTCTAATTAAAAAAGCACAACCCAAACAACAAATAAAAAAATTACAGGTTGTGCTTGACCGAGTGTCTGAGATCCCATTTTGCTCCAATCTCCAGGCTGCTGCATTTTAGACGACATCATTGCATCTCAGCAGTAAACAGTTTGCAAATATTGCTGTTTTCAGACAGGTCACTCCATGCATTTTAAAGCAGGCTCCTTGTTTACTGCTCAGATTATCCTCAGTCTGCATTTCTGCTCCTCACAGTGTCAGGACCTGATACACAGTTTGCAAATATTATGCAAAGGAAATAACTCACAAAGGCAAACAATTAAAATCAAGTGTAGAACATGGGACCGGCTGGTAATGGGAGAGCAGGGCAGAGGCTTTGGTGTCTGCTTGTGTGTGTATGTAAAGGGTTGGAATGGGGGAGGAACGGGGGCGTAAGGAAAAGCAACTATATAAAAGACCATTAGTACTAGACAATGTCATATCCTTAGTGACATATAATGATGTTTAAATACCTTTGCCATTTCCCCCTGGTGACTGCTGCACTGGGTGCGTTCTGTGTGCCTATAGAGAGATGTTTTTCAAAAATCAGGATGGAGTGAATGCTGCTCGTTGTTCTGGCTGCAAAATGTCAAACTGCAGTGGAAAGAAATACAGCATTGCAGTAGTGGTGCACTGAGGCCCCCGGTAGGAAAGCAGGAGCTATTAAGTGGAAAATTCCTGCAGAGGACGTGTTTCCATTTCTAATGCGAAGAAAGAGGGTGTTGTTTGAGGCTGGCAGGTCTGTGGAAAATACAGAAAACACAGGGAAGATGAGAAAATGACCTCATTGAACTCTGAGAACTTAAGCAAACAAACAGCTTCAGCCAACATACCACATTCTTGCAGCGCTCCTGCCCAAACAACGAATTGACCTATAAGTTATATAATCACCCGCATGCCTCTGTGCCCCACGTAAATGTGGGGAGGGAGAAAGGGGTTTTCACTATGGGGGCCAGGGAGGGAGAGGGGGGAAAGAGATAAGCAGTATAACCTGCTGCATTAACAAAGACTATATGGGGGTGAGCTGCCTGTCGTGTCGTGTGCCCCCACACACACCTTCCCACCCCAAATGGAGTACTCACGTGAGGTTCAGATTTAATTGCGCTCTGAATGCCAGCAGAATATGGCACTAGTTGTTTCTTGTAGTATGAACTATTTCAGTACAGCATAAATTTTCCATTTCAAAGGATCCTGAATGCCTGCAGCGGAGGGACTATGTTTTGTGAGCAGAGGGTGGCCTCTCTAAAAGTTGGTGAGGGTTTCATCTTAGGGATGGTTAAAGCTTCATTCTTTGAACCTGACTGAGGGGGCTCTGGGGAGCATGTTTGGGGTCTGTGTTTCCCCTTATAGAGGCCCCCTGTAGTGTTGACTTGGACTGCCTGAGTTACCATTTTATATCAGCTGAACAAATCCTAGTGTAAAAATGCAGGGGCTAACCAAAGGACATGGGTTCTTCTGCGGTGGTTGTTCTACATAGTTACAGCTTGGCAGAAAAGGGAGATGTATGCCAGCATCCCCAAGACCTGACTGTGCTGAGAGGTTTGACTTGTATGAGTTCTTGCGTCTGTGTATTTCCAGTAACAAATTAATTGAACATAACAGAAAGTAAATTATTAATTGGCAGAACAGCAGATAAACCATAATTAATAGTTTACAATAATATTATTTTAAAATCAGAAAAGGGCTTTTCTGTTAACTAATAGTACATTTGCTAAGGGTGCATTTTCTCTGCTACCATGTAATTCCATTGCATGATGCTTTGAGGAGAAGCATAACTAAAAAACATCTCGAAGATGCATCTTTAAAGCATATGCGTAGGAATGGGCAAGGTTCAAATATTAGAAGCAAAGAAAAAGCATCTGACACAAGTCACAAACTACAGGTACACATTTAAACTTCATGTAAGATGCTATTTAGATGCCATAGTTTGATCCATTCTGTCATTAGATTAGGGACCACTAGCCATGAATGCACTGAGGTATAATTCAGAAAACCCCAGCAGCTGTAAGGAGCTGACTAGATTCGGTGCTCAGCTTCCCTCACCAAAACATTTTAGAGCAAGATAATGTGAATTAAAGACGAGTGCTGAGAAGAAAGTGAGACCATCCCAAACTTGATCCAAAAATGCAACCCTTGCCTCTTACAGGGTTTGAAAAATGTGATTAAATTACCATTTTTTCATTTCCAGTATGGTATCTCCCTGAATATCTGTAACACAAGGCAAAAAATTACAGAATTCCATACTACAAAAAAATCTGTACGTACAAGACTTTCAGCATTGTTTTGAAGGCATACTTTAAGTTGTTTGGACAAAGATCAAAAGAGGTGGGTGAAGATTGGGGCACGTGGCTAAATCACACTGAAATTCTCCCACAGCTGTTACGTGTTGCTTTTCAAGGCTCCAGTTTCCACTTATTTCAAGTATGGAGGAGATAGTGTTGTAGTAATACAAACAGGAAATAATTCTAATCTATGTAGCTCAGATCTGAAAATGTATTTGCCCAGAATCCCGCACTGTTTCAGTTTAAACCTAAATGCATCCTCTGCAGCACAATGGCCAAAAGACATTCAAAAGCCTCCACAGTGTTGTGTTATTTCCTTTCTGGGAATGTTTAACCAGGGCAAACTATATAGTGCAGCATTTCTGCACGATGCCATGGATTCTGTTTCTCTTTTCCTTGTGCTGTGTAACTAAGGGGCACTGTAAGGGGCGCATAACTTACAGACGCAAACAGCTTTCTCCTCCACACTCTGACAGGAAATAAAAAGCTCCCAAAAATCTCGAGAGAAAAACAAACTTTGTGAATGACAAAAAGAAGCACTGCCAAAAGAAGGGAGTTTCCTGCACCTAATAAAAGGAAAAAGGCAGAGTTTTGCGCATCCTTACCTTGTGGCTGCAAATAGCCAGAAAAAGAAAGATGTAAGGAGTGCTCCATGTATTGTTATGGCTCTAGAGTTTAGCACCCATTGCAGAATTAACTCTTCTGAGGAGTGCAGGGCTTTGGTTATATTTTCCTCCTGCTTTCTATAGGTTGTCTTTTACACAGCAGACTTAGCACATACCAGAGCTTTTGTTTTGTGTTCAGTTTAGAAGACTTTAGATATCTAAAGAGACTTCTAAGAGACCGTTTTAAATATAAACTGAGATAAAGCTGAGTACAAACCTGAGCCGAGGAGATTGAAGGCAAGGCATGCTTAGCTTGTGCACATGCACCTCAGTCCAGCCCTACATTACGCTTTCAGAAGTGTGCAGAAGTGCCTGGTCAAACTAACCTGTGCAGGAGTTTTATGAAACACAAAAATAGATAATAGAATAAACAAAAAAATTAATGCTTTTTGAGTTGCCCTTCAATGTGCCACAGTATGAAAAGACATGGAGTAAAAGAGCCACATAAATCATTGATCGAGATCTGGCCTGTATTTCTTTCTTCTTTTATTTTATTCATCAGATTTATCACAGCATGCCCAGCCTAGCTTCAGCACCATCCTCTTTTTCAGACCATCGTGGAAATAGGACACTTGGTTTCTGACCACTGAAGGATGTGTCGAATCCCCAGGATTTTACTATCATTGATCATACGAGTCTGGTTTCATACCTTTTATGAATCTAAGAGCTTGAAAGAAGTTTTGAGATCGTTGCCTGTAGAAGGCCTGAGTGTGAATCAGTCTCCCTCCTTGTTTTGCAGTTCAGATGACTCCCAGTTTGGACAACTGGAGGATGAGGACCCCAGGACATGCTGAAGAGTAAGCTTACTGTTTTATCCAGATGCAGAAAGAAAGGTCAGTAGTTTCATACTAAGGTAGGAACAAAAAGGAAACTTCACAGTAGGATGTATACACAGGACTTTCACGGATAGAATGTGTGTAATCTAACCCAGCACTGACTGTCTCAGGAGCTGTAGCTCAAGATGTGGGTCCTGCCTAGGAGCCATAGAAGGCAACAGGAATCATCAGGTGTTTCGAAACTATGTCTTGGGAAAGCATGGTGCTTTCAAGTGCTTGAAGGGCAGCTGCAAAGTAGGTAATCTGTGTTTTGGATGTCATTTGGAACAAGAATTGGCTCAAATTACATTAAGACAGAATTGTCTTGGACTGTATTAAAAACCTTATGTTGAGTGATAGGAGGAGGTACAAGCACGAAACTGAAAGCATTTCCCTGAATGTAGATCCTCCCACATGCCAGAAGAAATACATAAATCAGTCACAGTGTGTGCCTGTTTATGCTTGGAAAAAAGTTTGACTCAACTAGGGCCTGGGTGCTGCTCAGCTAGTTTTGACTCAACTGGGGTGCTGCCAGCTGCTCATGAAAAAAGCATAGTGATAGGATAGGCACAACATTTGAGAGTGATGGCACCCTAGAAGGCTTTGGGAGGGTTTGGACCTTACTGTTTTTTGCAGCTTCTTGAAAGATCTATGTCACAGCTGGCCTCTACAGATACATACATATAGATACATATTTTTCTTACAGCAATTGATCTGGCAAGGAGGAGTGCCGATTAGACTTTCTGCAGACTGATCTGTTCTCAGTGCAAGAGCTGAACAATTAAAATGGAAACAAGGCTACAATATTTGCCTCCTCTGTTGAAACAATCAGTTTCAATGGAACTTCCTTCAGTTTTATACCAGTGAGGCTAAGTTAAATAACATGTGAGGCAAGAAAATACAGATACTAAAGATTTGAGTCAAGATCAATCAACCTCATGATTTGTCTTACTTGAGGAGAGCTCCTTGGACATCATTCATTTCTATAATGTGTATTACTAAAAGTCCATGGGGTTCAGGGAGAAGCAATGTGAGGCTTTTAATACACTTCCTTTTCTGCTTTTGGTTGTGATTCACAAGTAATGAGTGTGATGATAAACTCACTCCACCCATCATGGTGGGAATGTTACCTACTGTCTCTAATGAGTATGTAGTCTGATTGATTCAGCCCTATAAGCCCCCCGCCACATAGAAGCTAATTGCAAGGATTAGGGCACACCAAGACACTCAAGCTCCACTCCTGTGGGTTTGGGGAGAAACAACACATTTAAACATTCCAGCTACAGTTCCCTTGGCAACATACATAACAACTCAGTAAAACTATGGGGTTTTGTTTTCTTAACCCTTCAGGACACTGACTGAATGAATACTTCCTTGAGGAAATGGTTCAGTTAACCGGATATATTCAAACACTCTTAAATCCAGCAGGCCTTTTCTCCTTACGAAAACAACAGCAGTTGAGTTCCATGTCAAACCAACCCCTAGCGTTAAAGTGTTTAATTCAAACACACATACACACTGTTATCAAACCCACCATAGAAGTCCGCTTGAAAAAAAAGAGTAAAAACCAATCCCAAAACGTCTGTGTTCCATATCATTATAAAGTTCCTGTAGATCAGAGGACACAGAACAATACACAAAAAAATCTATACAGCACATAAGTGCTAGCAAAAAAATGAAACAGTATTAGCATTTGTGGAGATTATAGAAGACCATATTGTTCCTGTCAGTTATAATACTGTCTATAGCAACTTTATAATGATTCCTCTGGGAATTTAAAATACTTCATAAATATTAACTAATACTATGATATAAGATTTACACCATCTTTGTGAAATACATGAGATCTGCTGATGATTTTATTCCACTGCCTAATGAACTGGAGTTTCTTGTGACATGAAGCACATCTGCTCTTCAGCAGTGGTTGTTCCTATTGCACAAAAGTTTGG